TTTCTGCTGACCCGGACGGGCCAAAGCAACGAATGAGAGCAAGCTGGAGAAAGAAAAAAAAACACAAATAGAAACAAAAAGCCACTTTTACTATAATATGAATGTTCAGTTCAGGTATGCATCAACGTGAGTCTTCTTTTTATATCATACAAGATCAGCTCTTTAAGTCAAGGCTCTTTTCTTGTTCCAAATTGTGTCTCTATGTTTCGATTATTGCTGTTAATCCTGCAAGAAGTGATGATGTCACAATTCATTCTTCACTTATTCAGCACTAGACTATATTTATGAATGCATTTTTATGATTTTTATGAATTCCCCAAGCTGTACCTGACTGATGCAGGTAGAAATCCAGTCGCGTCATCTAACTTGATTAGGTATGAATAGGATACAACGTCCTTTATTGTTTGAGCGTGCTGGCTTCTATGCACTACAGTGTTTTTTTTTAAACGTGCTGATTACGGGGAAAAAACATCTTAATAAATTTGTGTAAATAATTAATGTCTGCATTTTTTATTTTTAGAACTCAGTTTTTTTTATTCGTCGTCTGTCATAGAACAGATCTTTGAAGATACAGACTGCTCGATGGTGCGAGATCATCCAGGGTGCTGACCCCATTTTAATCCTGCTTTCTGCAAAAACAGTTTCAGAATTATAATGGTTTTTTTTAATAAATGTGTGAAAAGAAGGCAAAGCTAAGCCTCCAAACGGAGTCTGCCACTTGCAATAAACTCAAAACGCATTTCACGGAGCAAGAAGTGTTGAATAATGGACACGTTCTTATCGCAAATGGGGAGTAGGTAGGTGGGTGCAGAGGAAGCCTGACAACGCTGGGGGAAGAAAAAAAAAATCACTCTAAACACAACCTCATCCGTGACAAAGAAACCAAAGCAGAGTAAACGTTTGCACTGATTTAAAGAGTCGAGGGGAAAAAGAGCAGGAGGATGGTGTAACTTCACCTGAAGAAAAAACTGAACAAACCAGCCAAAGTCCAGCTCGATTCATGTTTATTACTGAATAATATTTATCATAAAGGAACAATAAATTATTACATCTGGATCATTATATAGTCTTCCCTTTAGTCATATACACTTCATTTACAGTGCCATCTTATCTAATGTGTATCGCATGCTTCCTTTACTATCACTACTTAAGTATACAAATATGGCTGCTGCCTTTACTTATTAAATGAGTCCAGAGATAAAAGACGGTCTCATTGTTGGATGAACCAAGTGGAAATGGGACAGTGTGGTGGAGAGAGGACGAAAAAGACAGGGAGAGAAGACAAGACAGGCAGAGGCCCCAGGGTGGGCCTGAGGGAGACGCGTCACACCAAATGTCTAATAAGAGTAAAGTCAACGTGTGTTTCTATGTGTGATGCTGAACTAAGCAGAGTGTCTGTTGGTAGGTCGCTGTGTTTGAAACAGTATGACTATTTTTTCTGTGTTTTTTTTGTTTTTTTTTGGCATAAACAGGACAGAAATAACAGAGGTTAAAGCTCATGGCTGACAAGAAGCAGCCCCCAGGCTCAATTCTGGTGGGAAAGCAAACTAGCTTACAGCGTTAGCATACTGATTGTGTTTCTCTTTCTTTCTCAGGTTCTGAATCTAAGCAAGTAGAGGAGAAAACATGTCCGCCTTTTGGTGTTAGGTGGTTTACATTGTGAGTCAAAGGGATCTATTCACTCAATGACTGATAGATAACACTACGAGAACGCTGCACATGCTAATAGTTAGCAAGTATGTTAAGTTACGCTAGTTGAAGACATACTATTACGCCTAAAAGGTTACGTGGCAAATGTGTTAGCAAACTGTTTCCCTGTTACACATGTAACAGAAGCCGTCTTTGGCCAGGTTGCATCTATTGGTCAAATATTCTTTCCCGTTTCGTTATCTTATTAGTTTTTAAGTCCTGACAATAAAAAACTAGCTTTTTAGCTGATGAATTGTGAAATACTTTTCCAACTTTGTCCCAATAGATAGCTTGCATGAAATTTTTTTTTTTTTTTTTCCAATTTACAAAATGTTTTAACTGGAAATAAACAAAAAAAACTTCACATACACACAAAAAAGCCAAGTAGTGGTACATAAAACCAGCACAAACACCAAAAGACCACCGACATCGGCCTAGAATTTCACAGTATTTTGATAATTTACTCATTATAGGTGACCTGGAGAATATTGTGAAAATGTACATATAATAAAAGGGATGTTTTTTTGGTCCCAATCACACGACTAAGGTCTATTAGTCCGGTGTTGATACAGGTTGTTGAAATTTGATCACTTTTTACTTTCTTAGAGTAACAACTAACTGATCAAGCTTGTGTCTATGGTCATAAAACTACCCAGAATGCCATGGAGTCCTTGATCATTAACCTATAATTGAGTAATCTGAACATTAAAGACTCTATATAAGATACATATGACCTGCTATCCTCACGATTTTATGTAAATAAATCCAACAGTTCAATCCTTCAAAGTAATGTTCATTGCATTTATAACACTGAATCTCAGTATTGTGTAGAAATGAGCTTGTGTTTCTTGAGATGAAGCATTGTTCGGTGATAATTATCTGTAGCTAAGGTCAGGTTTCGATAGATAGTAAGTGGTCAAAAATGTGTGAAAGGATGATGAATTCATGTAGTACAAAGAGCTTGTTATGTTGAAAATCATATATAGAGTACTTCCAAAGAAATCTCAGTGTGCAAACAAAACTCCTTTCTTTTTTAGTTGTCTTGTGATCCACCATCCTTTTTCAGCAGCTGCAATAACTCGTAAAAAAAATAACCGACAGAGCTTTACACAAAAATGCAATAATCATTTGGAAGTGGTTGTATTGATGTTCATGTCACAGGAACAAAAGACAAAACAAGCGACAAAAACACAGAATGAAAAAAGTGCATTCAAACTTGAAAAGGGACTGCATTGATATGGGATGTTTCCACTCAAAAATAAGAATGGAAACACATGTGAGTACCTGGTGATTAATGTTCAGATCTTACTATTGTCACATTAACTACTGAACACTGGACTTGGATCGGCTTTGACTGCCATGGGTCGAAACCCAGACAGCCTGCAAGGAATGTATTAAAAACTCTTAAAATAAACCTTTTGATTTGAGAAGAGTGGTGCCACTTACAATGTCATCTCCACTCAATACATTTTAAACTAACACTGTAAAGTGATCGAACTTGGTAAGCAGAACATACACATGTACATAATGCAGAAAAAGAGTGCAGCACAGCCAGAGGTGAACAAAGTGGGGATCTTTGACTGGTAATTTATAGTTCACACTCTTCAGATTATTGAATGAATGGATAGATAAAACAACCACAGAGAGACAAGTTGTTAAAACGTCATTGAAACAGATGATAGTTTACAAAGGCTGTGTGCGCGATGGGGAAATTCTCAGACAGACAGGCAGCCAGCGCTCTTTGAAGGCGGGAGGTGTGAGAAGGCAACACAAGAATCTCTGAATCTCACCTAAAAATATCTGTTGTTGGAATTCCTTTTTGAAAAAGGAATTTTTTCCATCAACCCTCCTCCACTTCTCCCCACCTCCGTCCCTCTTCAGCACATTTGGTCAGTAGTAAAAATTCACCTTAAACTAAACATATACACAGAACACACAAACATAGAGTGCCATCATTAACCATTCGGCAAGACAAGGGGGGAAAAAAAAAAAAAACTTGACATTTTTGCCTTAAAAAAATCTCCAGTAATGGATAAAAAAATAGGGCGAGGCAGCACTGACAGAGACATAAACACAGAATTTTAAATTAAAGTACCATTAAGATTGTGCACATTAATGCAGAATTAAAAGCTTTGTCTAGAATATAGTATGAAAAAAAAAACTGAGGGACCTGTTTGGCATATTTAAAAGAGCATATTCACACTTAAATGACGTTGACACTATCTGTTTCCATGTGTCCTAATAATTCTAGAAACAAGAACACTGTTTTTTTTTTTAAAGCATGACATAATAGCCCTGGATGAAATCAAGAGGTAACTCTGAATTTTGAGGCTTCCGTTAAATTAACGCATCAGAAAACTGACTTCTGTAGACTTACGGTTAACTTTTACCTAAGTGGTGACATTTTAAGGTGTCAACCACATTACACTAGCTAACGCTTAAACATTAAAAACTTGTCAAACGGAATAAAATCTACAGGTTTAGAGTTAAAAGAGGAAGGAATACCCTCATGTGTTGGCCTCATTTGGCGATTTGGACTAAGAATGTGAGTGCAGTGTTAAATTAAAATGTCATAGTGCAGCTTTAAATCATCGTGTAAAGACCTTCTCCTACAGTGGTGTTTCTATTTAAAAAGAATGTATTAAGTCCCCAGGCAGCAAAAGTGGCAAACTAACTGCTCCATGGACCCTCACACACACACACACACACACACACACACACTTAGCAGGCTCTTTCCATTAGGACAGGAAGTATTACTCTCCCCAAAAAGCAGATGTCTCATCAAGAGATTAACTTCTGGCCACACACACACACACACACACACACACACTGACACCCATACCCCGAGTTAAGTCATCTGCAATAGTGGCACAATGTTGTGGTTCTTTCTTAATGTGTGTATGTGGTCGGGTAAGATTGGATGCAAAGAGGATTTTAGAGTTGTTTAGCCTTGGAACCAATAAGCTGTGACTATGTGAGTGAATGTGTGTAACATGCACACATACCTCAATGTTTGGATGCAACATTCATAAACGCCTCAGTAGAACATACAAGTCTGTGTGAGGAAAATATATTACTTTAAACCTCCCTTGTTTACATACAGAGAGACGGTCCTTTCTGGACAGACTGATGTCTGGTTAACGCCCCTCGTGCAACCTTGGCTGGATTTTGATTGGAGGTTACAGGTCAGGGACGTTATCATGACCAATGACCCAGCACTTCCTTCTGAGATGGTTGTGTGCTCGAGTGTGTGTTCAGGTCGATAGACTCAAGCTAGATGAATGAAAAGCTGAAATAATCCATTTAAAAAAAAAAAAAAAGGTAATGCTGCAGCACCACTTACTGGTCAGCTGCTGCCATTACAGCTAAAACTGCAGCTTAAAACACCCCTACTCTTATAAATCAGCCCTCTTTCCCTTCACGTTCCTACCTGATACAGAATTCTGGAAACAACTTTTCTAATTTTGATCATTTTTACCTGATAAAGTGGTAAAATGTGACATTGACATTTATTTGCAGCACTAATACTCTTAAGGATTTTCTTTTTTTACTCTTTCCCATCTATTCGTAGGACATGACGCCCCCTAGAAACAATCTCATTGGTGAATTAGTGCTACCAAAAAAATATCTAAATATCTTACCCCTATGGTAATTGCTTGTGACGCAGCCATTTCTTACCCCGCGTGAAAAAAAGAAGGTTTGAGTTTTTACAAACAGAAAGTTTGAGCAAAAACAGTGTGTACATGGAGCTTGTGCTGTGGAGCAACAAGAGTGGAAATTAGAAAAAAAAAGTGTCCAAGGATATGACATTAAAAGCAAAACAAAGACACAAGAAAATAAAAAAAATTAAAAAAATGTAAAAAGTTTGGTTATGATTTCTTTCAATAAAAGGCATGATGTGTCATCTGACAAAAACAGCTACGTAAAAACAATAAAGCTCTGTAGACAAGAACAAAACAGTCTGTAATAAAAAAAAGGAATAAAATTAGTTAATAATTAATATCAGTACTATCCCTCATTATAATCATTATAGACCCCTGTTGAATGTATTTAGATTTTTACAAGCAATGATTTTAACTGAACGACATCTCCGCCTCCGACAGGACCGGGGTGGTGGACGAGGAAGTGGAATCGGCCAATGAGGCTGTGCTATTGTCCATGCTCCTGTTCCAGGTGACGCGATTAGGTGTTGACGGGTACGAGGGCGTGGAGCAGTTGGAGGGCGGGCCCGAGCCAGAGCTGGGGCTGCTGTTATTGGACAAAGAAGAGCACAGGGCGTCCTTTCGGAGACCTTTGTTCTGGAGCTCCAAGTGCAGGTGCTGGCAGATCTCCTCGGGTAGTCTCTCTGACTCCTCCTCCAGCTCTCTCTCCAGCTGAGACCGTAGCTGGAGTTTAAAAAAAAAAAAAATGAAAACTTCAAAAGTTGTTCAAGCAACAGAAACGAAAAGAAAGCAACAAAAATAATCTTGTGCTTGGTCCCTTTCTGAGTATTTTGCTGGTACCACAAGGTGATTAGCTTAGCTTAGCATTGAGACTTGAAGTAGGGGCAAACAGCTAGCATGACTCACTCAACAGTTTTTAAGGTGTGCATAACTTAATAAATGTTCCAAAGTCCACTACTTGCAATAATAATCAGGTTTTATGGGGACTTATGTGCTTTGGATCAAAATATAATGATCTTAAATTGTGATTTCTTAAATACTGGTTACGTACTCATAACAAAAACAAGGCTTTTTTAAAGGCTTTATATATTTTTTTGATCCAGCAGATGCGCCCTTGAGCACCAGCATGAAACCAAAACAACTCGCGCTGCATTGTTGTGTTAGCATGCTAATGCTAGCGATCTTTATTATGCTGGTATCTTCACACTGCATGTAAATTTACCTGAAATGAGCGTGATCTAGAAACACAGTTAAGCAGTGAGTACAGTATGTTATTCTTCTTTTCTCTAGTCCCTCAATTAAACAACTTTTATACACGAGGGGAGGAGTCAGCCGGCTGTCCAGGCGATGTAAACAAACTGAAGATAGGACTCTAAAAACTCTGAAAACATCACAGACAGTGGGACTCGGGTGTTACACCCATTGTAGACAGTCATGACTCACAGAGTTATTTTCAGAGGATATACTTGATTTATATTATATTTAAGTGTCGCATATAAAGCCTTTAATGTTGTTGATAGATGTATTTTCTGAAGTATAGACACAGCTGTGCTAGCCATTTTTCCCATGCTTCTATTCTATACAGTATGCTAAAATGCTAAGCCAGGCTAACTTCATCCTGGCTATGTAATTCAAAGCGGGTATCAATTTTCTCATCTCACTCTGTGGAAAAAGAGCAAAACACTTCTTTTTTTTTTAAACTGAACTGTTTCCGTACTTCTGTAAGAGCAGCACATGTATCCATATTCATAGCCGCACAGCAAATTGTGTGTAACTGATACCATGTGGGAATTGAATGGGAATGAATCCCGCTAAACTCAAATGAGATCTAGTAAGCTATAGGAGGAGTTAAGATGTGTTTTTGTTTTGTTGATCTATTGGGACAGGATTTAAGGTTTTTCCTTTTTTTCCATTGCTGCAAAATAATTGAATGTATTCAAAGGATTTATTTCATTTGACTTCAAGGAATAAAATCAATAAACACATTATGCATTAGCTGAAGTTGCTTAGCTTAACATTGCTTTGTTTCTCGAGCTGTTGCGTTGTCATTTCTCCGTCACAAAAAGGTCAAGAAAGTGAGTAAGTGAGAGTTTGTTTTCTTTCAGTGACAAACTGAATGACATCACTCTAATGTGTGTGTGTGTGTGTGTGTGTGTGTGTGTGTGTTATTCGATGTGCTTGTTCTCACCAGAGGAAGTTCTTCATCTATGTGCTGCACGATCTCCCGCTGCCTCAGCATCAGCTTGTCCTGTCTCCTGGTCTGAGCCTCCTCCAGCTGGTGGGCAGGTAGGGAGGAAGATTTAGAGGAGAAGGAGGAAAGGTTAGAGGGAATAAGGATGAAGGGATACAGATTTGGGGGACAGTAAGAGAAAAGGGAATGCAGAGATCATATGAAAATAAATGAAGGGGGGGAAATGGGATGGAAAGCGGTAGGTTGTGAAAAGAAAGAATTCAGTTTTTCAGGACGAGAAAAAAAAAAGAGGATGAGGGAGGGGAGCAAGGCAACGAGGATTAGGAGGCGAACAGACAAAAAAAGGGGGGGAGGGAAAGAAGATAATGTGTTAGAGAAGAGGAGTAAAGTTGATGACAACAGCAGAAAAATGTACTCCTAAAGTACGTGACTGGCAGTTCTGAAGGAGCGCTGGCGATAAGAGAGCGTGTGCGTGTTGAAGTGTGGGCTTACCCTGCGGATTAAGGAGACAGAATCTTGAATGTGTTTCCTGTTGATCTCATTCAGCTCCCTACAGAGATAGAAGGACATGAGAGAAGAATGGGAGGAAAGGAAAGAGTCATTTCAAGCAAGGTCTGACTGCACGAAGGTCCGATTTGCGAGAATTCATTTCAATCTCCGAGCAGTGATAAATGCATTACGTCTCAGCCTTGTCTTTTTCGTGGCTTTTAGCTTCACTGATGCTGTTTTGTCGCTTCCTGTCCAGGATCTTCTGGAGCTCTTTCTTCTCCCTGCAGACACACAATTATAATTCCATTATTCTATTCACATGCAGACCAAAAGCAAGTTTTGTCCTGGTGTTTTACTTTTTTTTTTTGAAGGTGTTTGTACACTCACAGACCAGATTTTAAAGTCAAAAAGAAACAAAAAACATTCTAAAAACATTCTAAAATAACAATAAAAGCAGAAGTCCCTTCGACAGGGACTCTGGTGTCCTGTCTTAACTTTTTTTTTTTTTTAAATCAGAGCAAGGTGAAACAGCCACACTCACTTTTCGCAGGTCTCCCTGAGCTTCTTCAGCTGAGCTGCTTGGCATTCATGCGCTGTCTCCTTTAACTTCTGGATGGCCTGAAAAAACACACGGCGGCAGACGACGAGCTGTCAGCGAATCACTGTGCAGATGTTCCAAAGTGCCACAAAATGTCGTGGAGGTCAGATATTGATGACGTTATGTAACGATTCACAGGAGGTACACAATGTTACTCCAAGTGTGTCCCCTTGTAAAAAGCAAATACAGTAAGTGTGTATGCATTGTGGCTTTTCATACGTAGGCTGGTGTGTGTGTCTGTGTGTGTGTGTGTGTGTGTGTGTGTGTGTGTTCCTACATCCTGCAGGTGTGTTTGTTGCTTCTGCCTCTCCAGTGTGTGAAGCTGCTGTCGGAGATTCAGCAGCTCTTGCATCTGCCATTCCCTCAGCTGGACACTCTGCTTCTCAATCTCCTGATCCAGCGCTGTCAGCTCACGCTGCACCGGCTCCTGAGGTTCGCTGGACACAAACACAATACGTTCAGGTTTAGTGAACAGTAAGCATCTCTTTACAGGGAAACCTTCTCTCCTATCTCCTCTTCCTCACTAACCCCACTATTCCTCTTCTACACTGTGATTTTCTTTATTGTACCATCTGTTTCAGAACGTCAAAGACATCTTAATTTGACAATTTGTTGAACAGCAAGCAGTAGACACACAATGAATAATACATGACATCACATTAAGTTCTTTAAAAGGCCAATAGGGACAGGGACCAACAAGGTTTGAAGTCCTCTTCCTCCCTGTTACGTTGTATGCTATTTCGTCTCCCCCCTGCTGGCCATGCTGTGTACACATGTTTACCTCGTTACCACGTCTGGTTTGTAGATCGTGTTCATTGCTACAGACCATGAATCCATCTGTTCTTACTTTTTCCTGATGCTACGTTTGAGGTTTTTCTCCATCTGACTTCGTTTCCTCAGGGTGTCAGACTGAACCTGGCTACTCCGACTCTTCTGCTCCTTACTCAGATTCCACACCTTACAGAGACACACACATGAATTTTGTTTGAAGAGTTAGAAAACCTCAGACCCGTGGAGTACATATGAATGTAAATACGAGTGTTTCCATACTGTCACACATCTGCTGTTCGCGCGTACCTTCTTGAGGTGTTTCTTGCGCAGCTCTTTGACTTCTTTGCTCTGTTTCTTCAGCAGCTTCAGATAGCTCTTCTGCTGCTTCAGCTCCTCTATCGACTGAGCCTGGACGCCTACGAGACAAACGGAGAAATATGGCAAATGTCTTTTGTTATTAACTAGGGGTTAATCCGGCTGCCGTCTACATGAATGAAGCTACATGCAGCTCAATGTGACAAAGAAATCTGAGTTCAGTAATGTCAGACATGGACGCTCTGAAATGGCCTTACCTGCCAGAACACTGGCTATGAGGTCTTCCTTTGGACATTGAACTACACACACACACACACACACACACACACAGACACACACGCACACAAGGGAAAGGACATAAACAGTATGAATGAAATGGATGATGGGAAAATGAGCCAGACACAAACACCAGAAAACCAGGGGCATCCATGTAATGAACAAAATCGTTTGCATGGCTTTAGAGTTTGAATAACATCGAAGTTTTTACATTTCCTGGTGACAAGAAACATTTTCTTATTACAGATTACAATGAATGGAGGCGTTATGTTATCTTACTGTATGTGAGCTTAAATACGTTACTCGCAGCAGGCTTACACATCATTACTTTACAAAGACTAATGCAAATTAGAACTATACGAGTGCTATAGAACCAAACTGGCAACCTGCAGCCCTAATGCGGTCGCAGGAGACCAAAACAAGTGATGAGTGGGATAACAGAATGAATTACTGCTAGCATTACATGTAGCATCACTCCAGTATTCATCTTCAAAAGTGATATCAAATGTTTTTGAGTGACATGATCAGGGCTTTAAATTAACACCCGCCAACCCGCCAACTGCGGGTAAAAAATGTCACATGATCCCAGTCTGTTTTCATTGGACACATCTGCAAACAATATTTGAGGTTGTGTATCTGTAGTTTGAGGATGTGGTTACCTGGTGCAGGTAACTTAATTATGTCAGCAGGGCTTTCATCCAATGAGCCCATGTGCTGAGTGTGGAAGTGGGGGGGTAGCTGACATCCTGGAATAACTTCACTGTCTCTCCTGGTGTCTCCCTCGTTGGGCTGGTTGGGGAAGTGCTGAACAGAAGCAACAGACGATTCAGAGTTAAAACGTCTCCTGGTCCATCGCACAGTTTGTTGGTTTCCACTCAGCAAAGTATTTTTTTTCCATAAAAGGGGGACGAGTAACCGACACACAGATTCTGAGCATGCAGTGAAGCAGCTGTGAGTTTGTCTCTTACCTCACTGTTATCCTCTATGAGCACAGCCAGCTGTGTCTCTCTCTTGTGCAGCTTGACTGATGTGCTTGATGGGGTTGGTCAGAGCCTCAGCGTACTCTGAGAAGACACACACAGAAACAGCCACACCAATTCAACAAGTCTGTACATCCTGGAACAGCTGCAGAGCCGATTAATGTCTTTCGCTGTAAGTTCAAGTAAAATCACACTGAAGTTGTCGTAAATGTGGCGCTCTTAACCTTGGTGTTCATTGGGGATGTAGTCCTGAGCCTCGGTGTAAACCAGCAGCGTGGGCAAGAGAAGGGGCTGGTTGAGCTCATTCTTCAGGTTGATGTAGTGGTAGCCTAGAAGGCAATCAGAAGAAACAAAAATACAAATAAAAAAAGTGACTTCTGTTGATTTGATAATGGAAGGGTAAAGTTGCAGCAGCATGTCATTAAAACAATTTTCAAACTGATTGCAGATAAGAAGTACATCAGTGGAGAGAACTGTCTAAAGCCTGAGCTCTCAATGCCTCACTTTACGAGCGTGTTTATGTTTGTTTAAGTGTGTTTGTGTGTGTGTGTGTGTGTTTGTACTGACCAGGTCTAATGGCTGACACAGGGAGAATCCGGTGTCCAATAAACTTGCCATTTTCTTCAAACACTGCTATCCTCAGAGAGGCCAGTGTCGGGAGGACCACCTAGAGAGAGAGAGAGAGAGAGGAGGGAGAGAGAGAGGGAGAGGGAGGGAGGGAAAGTGTTGAGAGGTGTTGGTGCGATTGGGGAGGTTATGAATGAATATATTAGTTAAAAAAAAAGGACAAACATGGAAGTGTGTTAGAAAGATTTAATCCCTGTGTGCATGAGTTACCTTATTAAACACAAACATTTCATCGTCCCAAACAGGATCCAGCGAGTTCCCATTGGATGTTTTAGTTCTGTACTTCCTCTTTGTATCAGCAGGAAGTCCAAATATGTCCACTTCCACGTACACGCCCACTTTTTTATCCGTCAGGAACTGTCCCGAGATCACCTGGTGGATGTTTGAATGACACGTTTGCTATCATATCTCTTTTTTTCGACAGAAACCTTTTTTCGACGTCCCGAGTGATGACACGTGTCGCTCTTACCTTTATCTTCACGGTGTTGGCGACTATCCCGTCGACTATGTTCTCCGTGAAGGGGTCAAAGTGTTTGTCCGTCCTGCGCATGAACTCGGGCTTCAGCAGGTAGCCGCTGCGGCCGTTGTACTCGAACACACCCATGTTCAGCTGCATCGGGAGGTCTGGACGATAAGAAGAAACGTTTGGAAAAGATGTGGAGGGATTCAGTGGGACAAAGATGGAGATGCTTTAACTTAATCTCCATGAGTCTTGCATTATCATACAAGACTGAGAAGACTTTCCATTGTCAGAGACTTAAAAATGTTCCTCAAATTGAGTCAAAACCTTAATAAAAAATAACAATTTAAAGATGAAAAAGCGACAATTGGCAAAGCGCATCTCTTTATGATTTTAAATTTCAAATGAGGGAAATACATATTGATATCTCAGAAGGAAATATGTGAATACCATGCACTCCAGAGGCCACCTGAGGCTGAAACGACGGATCTTACCCAGGGTCTGGAAGTTCAGCGCCACCATCTGGCAGCCCACATTCCAGAAGAGCTGAGGCATGTAGTTGGAGCTGTCCACCCTGGTTCCTTTGGGGTAGATTCTGCTCAGCTGATTCTTATTGTACCTGGAGGAGTGCTGTTTAAGGACCACACACTGTGAACGTGGAGAATGTGTGTTTCATTTGTAATGAGATGCTTTTTAAAAAAGGCAGGGTTGGTCATTTTCTAAAAACTAGAATGATTCTGAAAGTAGTATTCCCTCAGTGCTCCGTCTACACTTAACCCCCTCCCCTCTGTGCTCCTTCAAAAGCCAACGCCGCCTCACTTGCACGAGGGTCGTCTCATGTCTCATTCAGCACTAAATTGTATCATAATAAAAGTATCTCTTTAGTAAAAAAGTACCCAAATCTTAAAAAGGATATCTGGAGGAAATTACCAACCCTTACTTTAATTGTGTTAAAAGATCAAAAGTCAGTTTTTTGTTTAAGCCTTCAAAGCGTTTCTCTGTACTCACTACTTTCAGTCTCCCTGGTGAGTCAGTGCACAAAAAAAAAAAAAGGCATTTGAACGCAACGCCAACAATGCTAATAAAAAGAAACTTGTAAAAGAAGCACAAGTTTTTCAAAGGGACGGCAAACTCTGCAGGATACTCCACACACTCGATGGGGCAGCTCTTCAGGGTGTCCATGCCTTTGGTTTCCACGAATGAGGACATTTCATAGAACTTCCTCCTCTCTGGCGGACAGAGTGACAGACAAGAGGATTAGCCTTTCTGCTTGATGACGTTTTTAAAACAATAATGCTTTCACACAAACTCACTTCACTGTGTATCGTCTAAATAGATTGGATTCTGTCCCTTCACACACACACACACACACACACTTACTGTTTGCCACCTCAAAGCTCTTGAACTTGACAGGTTCGATGTAGTTGACGAGGCCGGACATCTCCTCTGTGGCGTTCACTTCGCTGCTGGCTGTACCCTGAAGGAGGCAGATAATCCGTCAATCGGCCATCGAGACAGTCACACACACACCGTCTGTCCTATCACTGGTTGACTCTTACCTCATCAGAGTTCGGCTTTTTCAGTTCGGTCACTGGTTCGTCCTCCTCATCCTCCTCGCTTTCTCCTTCTCCTCCTGCATTGACGCAAATATTAAACTTCAATAACTTCACTCTGCTGGCACTCTCTCTCTCTCTCTCTCTGTCATCATGATTGTCATTCTTTTTTTTTTTTTTGACCCACCTATGGACTTGCGAGGCTCCGATTCTTTGACCAGCCTCTCTGCCAGCTTCTCCTCCCCGTTGGACAAGAGCTGACCCGCCTCGCTGTCATTTAAAGGACAATCTACAAAGGCAAAAGCAATCATTAGATTTAGGGTTGCTACATTGGAATCTGTTTTTTTTTTTGGCAGAAATGTATGAAGCAAGATGTCACTTTTTTTTTTTTATCCTTCAAAGTTTCTGTGTGCCCGACTTGACTTAACCGTCACACTTCATTCAAAAAGACAGTACAAGTTTTCATCCTCCAGGACGAGGAAAGCTCATTTCATTTCATCATTACAACTAGATTTGAGTAATTAAGAAGTCAGAATCTGCTGCTGCATCTGTGAATTATTTGGCCTGCATGCAAGAGGACTCGGGTGGTAAGTCTGCGCTCACCGTTGTTGGGCGGCGATTGCTCCTCCAGCTCTCTGCGTCGTATGCTGCCACCGCTCGAGGGTCGGCGGTGGTGGTGGTGCTTCTTCTTGTTTTTAATGAGAATCTTTCCGAGCATCTCCTGCGGCGAGGGGAGAGGCTGACCGGGTTCCAGCTGAGGGCGCACAAAAGCAGAGTGTGTCATTTCATTTCAGCTCAAAACTGGTCGCAAGACTGTGTGACAGACAGATCTAGAAAACCAGGTGGGTAAGCAAAAAAAAAAAAACCTTTACAGGACATTCAAACATAATAAATAACGCGTGCAGGTCAAGCTGGCCCTCCGTGGCAAAAACGGAACCTAATGAAGGAACGCTTGCAGATTTATGCCTTGCCAATATGTGCTTCTTATGAAACAGGTTTCTCAGAATAATCACTTCTTATTTCTTAAAAGTAAAGCATGCGTTTCTTACATGTGCACTGAATGAAAAACTATTCATCGGTTGAACTAATTTTGATTCCAGGGGAGTTCTTAGGTAAACAGAATAAAGAGACGTACTAATTCATCATGTTGAAGCGATGGTTTACAAGTTTAATGACAACATGAGCGTGGAGTCAAAGGATAACCTCGTGTTGTTTATTAACCTGGAGAAAGAGCAGTGACATCTTTAACTGAAAAGCATTTACTTTTGGACAAAGACAGAGTATCTCTACGACCTGACCGGGTGATCCGTCTTACCGGGTATTTCTCCAGAGGCTCAATGAGCAGAGCGTCTCCAAAGATGGTCCTGCAGTACTCGGCCATTTTGGCTTGCTGCTTCGCTCTGGCAAGAGATGAGACACGGGAATTAGTTGTGATAAGATTTGTTTTCATTAATTGGACGAGAAAAACATGTCGGGCCTGTGGCCAAACAAACTATGATGATCTGAATCCCCGTGCTGACTTCCCGAATGACTTACGAGTCGACGTGATTCTCAAAGGACAGGATGACGGGGTACGGCGAGGTCTTGAAAGCGCTCTCTGCTATCGCCTCGATCACCTCCTACACACCAGGAGAGAATGAAGACGTGACAACAACTCAAATCTTTACGCACATGTTAAATCAAAAGAGTCAGTTTGTTACATCTTAATGACTCCTAAAATCAAAATATAAAAGCTAATCGCTTTTGAAATCAACAGCACAGCTTAGCCATATTTACACAGCTTAAAAAAGAGAGGCTTTTTTTCTAAGAGGTGTGTTTGATCTGCTTTCATATTCAGCATTTTTAATCCGCCGATCAAACTTCACAAACACGCTGAGGTGAAGACTTAAAAAAACAAACGCGTTAACGGTTCTTTATATCTTTTAACAGCTGGTGGACGTAAATAGCTGTAGCCCGTGAGAGCTTTATTACATACACATAAAAGTCAATGAACCATTATTTATGATGTGAACCGTCCAATCCTTGTTGTGAAGAGAGTAAAAACTTACATGAAACGTGATTTACTGAATCATTTCCATGTGGTGCTGGCTACATTTAGAGTAGGAAAACTGTGGTTATGTAAGGGTGAAATCTCTCATGAACATCCGATAGACTTGCGAAAATGCTGGACAGTAAATGTTCACACAACAGGAATCACTCGACCAAAAGCATGAATCAATATTTGGGACAGACAATTTCAAGGGAGCGGTCCTGGATGCTCAAAAAAAAAATATATCGAATGAATGCCAAGAAGCAGCACCTTAAAAGGGATCTCAGTGGTCATGGTAACCCGTGGGTGATGTAGGGCTCCTCGTCTTGGGGCCGGCCCTTCCAGCAGTCCAGCTCTACACAGCGACAGCCGGTCAGCAGCACCTGCCTGTACATCTCCACCGACGACAGGCCGGTCAGCTGACCCACTGCAGGAGGACAAGACAGAGGGAGGGAGGGAAAGTTGTAGCTCCAAAACTTTGAGAATAAATCCGGACGTTCAATGACATTCATGTGACTCGTGCGCGTAGCCACTGTCAGATCTAAAAGGTTTGTGAGCTCTGCGAGTGCGCTTTCACACCTGTGAGGTACGTGTTGTGCGAGGAGTTGATGAAGTAGTGCGACAGCGGCTGGTTCATGTCGTCGATGACATCCAGCCGCTCTGGGGGGACGATGCTGTTTTCTTCTCCTCCCAGATAGAGAGTGAAAGCCTGCAAACTGATCTGGTCTGCAAAAAAAAAAAAAAAAAAAAGAGAGAGAGAGTTTACTCAGTATCAAACTTTACAAGTTTAAGTGAAGAGACAGAAATCAACCTGCAATCAGGAATAACTACTGTAGATTAAGTTGTTACGTTCAAAAGCTGGAAGATGCTAATACGATGACATCATGTGTTCCCTTTAGTGAACTGGCCAAAAAGAGCAAAAGGCTCCAGTTTCAGGACAAACAAGCGGCTTAGAGGGAGCTCCAGGTTAGCCGTGAACATCATGGGCTGCACAGAGGATCGTTTTACAGACTTTGGCTTAACAGCGTCCTAGCAGAGCCACTTAAGGTAGCCCAGGCTCTGTTTACGCTTCCCGGTTTTTGCACAGTTTATCCACAAGCGACCAGAGTAAGGAACTCTGGAGGATTACCATAAATGACTCCCACATTTTAGGATGTTTTGTGGAAGGTTAAATGACACAGGATCAGCGTGGTCAAGGGTTGTAGAGGAAGAGGGAAAACCACTTAGCGGCAATAAAAAGTCAAAGGAAACAAACATCTATGAGTCTGTAATTACCCTGAGTCCAGCTGCAGCTCAGGAACGTTTTGCTTGGGGACAAACAGATAAGATCTTCAAGAAGAATCAGCTGCATGTGTGCACTGAACTCTTGTCATCTTTGCAAAAAAACACCTGCTTTGTGTGTTTTGTCTCTTTGTCCTTTAAAAACGCAATTATCTTAACTGCCTTCGCTCTCTCAGACATTGCCTTGAGGCCAGGTAATAGTGGGCGTCACAAAACTTTATTCAGCATACTAAGGGAGTAAGACAAAGCGTCATATTTGGCAGCAGACACCACATGATCCTGATGACTTGCTGCTCAATGAAGAGCTACCAGACAGAACGCTTAACATTTAAAGTTATTATTATTATTATTATGTAAGGTCATTTACTTAAGCAGGGTCTTAAAGGGTCCCTGTATTCTGGTCTCTTCTTTGAATCCTTGGGAAGCACGTTTTGCCAAAGATCCGGTGCAGATTTTGAGTTTTCTGAGACGCTCCTCTGGACAGATCTAAACACCAGAGATTTAAAGTAAATGATAATTAGAAGTGGCTGACCTCTCTCCAGCTGGCTGGTGTTGGTCTCATATTTCTCCATGGTCTGTCGGACCTGGTCTATCTTCAGCGGGGGGTACAGCACCTCGTTCAGTCGGGAGTCTCGCTGCCTGCGGTTGATGAAGTCCATCAGCTGGTCCAGAGAGATGAAAGGCTTCCCCTTCGAGCCACTGCGGCAACAAACAAACAAAAAAAACGTTCACTGGAAAAAGTATTGCCTATTTCCACTGAGGTGAAGATGGTTAGCATTACAAGTGATCCTAAATATAAGGAGAGCGTCTTCATGACAGGACTTAGGGTTGGGCTTTGGATTTTATTTGGGCTCAATAAAGCTGATGTAAAGCAGCAAATGTTTGTCAAAGTGCGTCACATACCTTTCCACAAAGATGCTTTGTATCTCAGGCCGGAGACAGAGGCTGGCAAGAAACTTCTGGAAGGCCTCCCACGTGAAATCATCTGGCTTGAGTCCCTCTGCCTGAGAGAGAACAGAGAGAATCGTGTTGAAAGATGTGAAATGAAAATAATGAAGGCCTGATCATTCAGAGACATTTAAGCCGCCTTAGGATACACGTTAACATCCAGCTAACTACCACTGGACGAAATTAATTCAACTGTGAATAACTAATCGCTGCAGGCTGCCAATTCATGTCCTAAAATCTGCTTAAATGTGTTTCTCTGTTTAACCAGTAGGAGGCACCAGAGCATGGCTATACGAGGAGAAATGCTGACAGTGCAGTTTGCAAAATCTGGTCTCTTGTATAAAAAAAAGAAATGTCTTGTGACTGCAGCAAACTGATTCTTTTTTTTGTTTTGTTTTTGAGAGAGAGAGAGAGATTGACCCAACGGTTGACACACAGGAAACCCTGTTTTCCCACCCTAACCACTATCCTCTGGTACGTTATACTGCACAGACAAAAAAAAAAAAGCATTACTCGTGTTTTAAATGGATTCTGAGGATAAAAAAAACAATTAAGAATTCAGTCAGATTTTTTGTGTCTACACCTCTGTGGTCGACTCAGTCACTAAAAAAAAAAAAAAAATAGTGGTAGAGTCGGTCGTCTCTGCACGCTATGGTTGGGGTTATGATCCTCAGCAACCGCAGCCACAGGAGTGAGTTAAGGAGTTAAGGAAGTGTCCTAGAGCAGGACACTGAACCCAGCCATGCGTGAGTGAGATCAGTTAATACTGATGGGCCCTTTATTGTTTGGGAGCTATACTTGTACAAGTCTGTCCTCGGCAATTACAGCAAGATCAGTTATTATCGCTGCACTGAAAAAAATGTCCATTTCTCCAACTTGTCTTCCATGTGTGCATCTCGTAATCTTAAACCATGAGTCAGATTTTCCCTTATCTACATGTTTCATACTATCTCTATTCATGTTCTTGGGTAGAGGGGATTCCACTTTACCCCCCCTGGCTCAGAGTTAAATGAGAGAATGAATACCATTCCTGTGTCTGTAAGGTAAATATCAATGCTCTCCCATCAGCCAGGAAGCTTAGCTTAGCTTAGCACTAAGAGTGTTAAAGGAACATCATACCGTACTGGAACAGTGACCAAAACTTAAACATGTTGGATTTGTGTTGAAAGACATTAAAATACTCATATCTGTACGTTACACTTCAGTGCTAAAGCTTTTTTTTCCTATTTTGGCTTCCTCAAATTGCAACGGCATGTGAAGAATGTTCTGCAACGACCCAGGCCGACTGGACTGAGCTGTGACTTTTATCATGCATGAAGGACCACAAGAGAGCGCACACACGTGGAGCAGCCCTGTGGTCAGTGATCGCTGTGGATGATTTACCCGGTTATTTACGAGGCCGCACTGCTCCAGAGCCGTCTCCACTCGCTTTTTATCTGAAAACATCTTGAGAATACTGGAAGACAAGAGAGACAGAGGAAAAATAACCGTCACTTTTCTTCATCAGTCATTTTGATCATCATGTCCGAGGAGGAATGTTCGCTGGGAAACAAAAAAAAAAAAATGTTTATATCGTTCTATCAGCGGAGTCTGAGAGGATTAGATTAATCTAAGTGACAGTTACGACCAAGAGATGGGTCAAATGTCAACAGCGAGCAGAGATAAACTGAAGTGGAGCTGATAGCGAAAGTGAAAGAGGGACACAGATAGGAAAGGAAAGAAGAAGTGGAAGAAGGCACTAGCTTGTTTAATTCTGTGTAGAGTTTAGAAAGCGGCTGCTGGATGATGCCGTTGTCTCACTTCTTCACAGGAATCTTCCCGTCCTGATTCACCTGCAGCTTCAACTTGGTGTGCCTGAAAGCAGAGACAGAGAGAGAGAGAGAGAGAGAGAGAGAGACTTTACAAACACGCTCTTAAATCTACATTTGTCCCACGTCTAGACAAGTCACGATGAACTCCTTACGCTTTGAGGAGGAAGGTGTTCCGCGATGCATTCTGGGAGAGAATGTTAGTGGCCAAAGTGAACAGCTCATCCGTCCAAATCTGGTAACGCAAACACACACACACACAAACAAACAAACACACAAGAAGGAGATGATAAAACAGGGTTGTTTAACTCTTTGTATAATGTTAAACACACATATACAATATCCAACACACACACACACACACAGGAAATCATCCTTCTTTACAAGTCCTGAACACGCACACGCCTCCGTCTATGTCAACATCGTAAAGTGATTAGTCGGCATACGGCCTTAGGAAGGAGGGAGGGAGGGACAAGAAGAGAGGGGAGGACTGAGGATTAAAGGAAGGGGGGGGGGAAGAGGGAGTAATTGTTATATATGCAAGGATACGTTTTGGTACAGGATGATGGCTGTGGTTTCTGTGGTTACCTTGGCTGTATCTTCCTGCATGGCCTGGAAGTTAAGGAAGGAAGTGTTGACCAGGTCATTGCCATGCACCACAGTAACCAGCTTCCCTTCCACGTTGTCGGCCTTGCCGAAGCCGAGCACCTCCCGGAGCTTTGCGTCCTGACACAGAGACACACAGATTTATTCTTCTTATTACATGTAATGTGAAATCATAACGTTTTTAGCCACAACGCTGCTCATGTGCAGATGAACTCGCCATCCTTCCCGCTCCTCATCCATCCCCGTGTCTCTCCCTAGAGGACGGTAAATGTGATGCATGTGGTGTAGCACTCTGATCTAATTAACCAAACGACTCCTTTCCTCCCTTTTAGAACCCTCTTTCTCTCGGCGTCTCTCTATCAATTATGCATTCCCTCCATTACTTGCTCTCTATCGTCCGATCCCTTTCATTTCAATTAAATAAATTAACTCGGGATTGTTTATCAAGAAAAAGTACGGGCAAAGCAGCGCACAAAATGCACATTATCATTAAGGAGAGAAGCTTAATTCGGATCAGAGCAGCAGCCACATTTCAAACATTTTATTATGCAGCTCTTCTCGCCAGCTGAGTTGACAGGCCTCCTCTGTGTTTGGAACTACTCTCCAGCAAAGAAGTGGTCCTCATAAAGCTGTGTTCCCTGGATTTTTCCAAAGTAGCGGTGACGTGACACCGCTTCGGGATATCGGAGCTGTTGAGCTTTTAAAAGGCGGCATCAACAGAACCAGAGGAAAGAACGGCAACTTTTGTTTTATTGATGAGGTGACGTGACGAGAGAAAAAGTACAGCGACACAAACAATGAAGGTCACAGGAATGCATGCGTGATGTGAAGCAAGTCTGGGATGGAGAGAGGTTTGTGATTATTGAAAAACATCGAGATTAAAAAAAAGAGAAAAAGTGTTTGGTAGTGGTGATTATATCTCTGTTTTATGTCATCGTAAACACTTCAACAGGGAGAGTGGAGAATAACAGAATGGCATTTGCAAGAGAGAGCCAGGAGAGAAAGACAAGTGATGAAAAGCAAAAATTAATGAATAAAGAAAGTCTAAGATCAATTGATTATCATCTTGGAAAGTTGGCCAACATGCCCATATTGCCGTTTACAGTAAGAGTTCCACCGGCTCCCGAGGAAACATCTCACACTTTGGCCATTAAATGCTGGATTTTGTCAACCTGCCATCCTCTGACTTGGTCTGTGTGCTGTTTGTTGTGCTGGTCACAAAGTGCGCAGTGTGTGTTTATCAGAGTATGACTAAGGTTTAAAAAGCGTCCTCCTTTTTCGGGTTATAAATGACAAGAGAAGGCTGCAGGTTGTCCAAGGTAAGAAAACACTCAAAGTGATTGGACTCTCAAAAGCTGCGGGTCGATTTTTTCAAGTCGCATACGGTCATTAAATACCTTTGTTGTCACAGAAAAATTATTGATTATAGCAGCTTGATAATTCATTTTGCAATTCTCCGAGCAACACAGACAGCTGTGTTTTTTTTTTTTTTTTTGCCGATTATTGCTAAGTGTTTGCTCATGGTGGATTCACTGAGGGTCTCTCTTAGAAAACTCAACAAAAGGGTTCGATGTAGACCTGCTCTTTTTGTAAATATCCTGATGACTTTCGTTCTAATTGTGTTGGATAATTAAAAAATATCTGTGACAGAAAAGAATACAAAAGATGTATCCGCAGTTTTGGTTGACTGGCCCTTTAAGCACTCTGATGTGTTTTTATTTTAGGTACGTTTAGTTGTCCAAAACAGCAATAAAAAAAATATTTTTTTGTACAACATGCGGTTGTTGTTACTTGTTGGCGCAGGTTTTCTTGCAAAAAAGGCCCCAACTCTGCCGTTCTGATTGAAAGCAGGAGCAGATTTGAGTATTGAATAATGAAATTAAATTAAAGTAAGTGATATATTTATGGAGCAGAGACTCGGGACCGGTGTTATCTTTTTGATTAATTCGATCGGGCCGGCCTGCGCTTTGTCAACACATCCGTATGTTTGAAGTTAAACAACCAATGCCCTGCTTTATATTAGACTCTCCGTCTGCCACATCTCCGCTCTTACACAATGACTTCCTCGCCAACAGTCGCTGCTTATATCACTTCCTGTCTGATGGTCCATCTGTCAGCCTGCTCATTAGCACTCTGTCACCTTTGTACCATCAGCTGAGAGAGGAAACACACACACACGCACACACACACATCTTTTGGTGACAGTCCCACTTGAGCATCACATTTCTGTTCTGAGGACATAGTATCAACAGCAGGAGGTGACAGCTTCTTTCTCACTCACACTCACACACACACACACACACACACACACACACACACACACACAACTGACCTTTGGTTGTTTGGCGTATTTTCCTGTTCTGGTGTCCCTGATAGTCGCAATGTCCAGAGTCTCCACCTCCTGAAAGACAAACACATGTCAGTCAGTCCCTTGATGGACAGAAAGTCAACATTACATCATCTTTGCTGCATATGTCAAAATATGACTTTGGTGTTTACACACACCTACACACTCACACCCATTCCAGAGGCTGCTTTTCAGTACTAACTAATCCATTCATACACATTCACACGCTGCAGACAAAGCAGCGGGAGCAACTTGGGGTTACGTGTCTTGCCCAAGGACACTCCCAACATGTGACTGCAGGAGCTGCATGGGGATCAAACAGCCAGCCTACCGGTGGAGAGACTAACGACTCTGCCACTGATCCACAGCCGCCAAAAGGTAAATAGACTATTTATAAAGCGCTTTTTCCACCCACACAAAAGCTGTTTAACACTACATGAATCACTCATTAACACACACATTAACACACTGGAGGCAGAGGATGTTTATACAGTGTGCCCATCAGTATTATACTATCCCATTCCTCTTCATTCACATGCAGTCGGGCTCTGCCACGCGGGAGCATTTTGCAGTTCAGCGTTTTACCCACGGAGACTTCAAGATGAGGACTGAACCTCCGACCTTTAATTGAGAGACGACTGACTCGACCACTGAACCACAGCTGGCCCAGGTTGATTTCACGGTCTAAAAGCTCCCTTGTTAATTGGGGCACCTGTGACTAGGTGGCGGTTCGCGTGCCCCCATTTTGCAGAGGCTGCAGTCTTCAGGGCGGTGCGGGCCTGGTTTCAGATCCGGCCTGGCGCCTTTACTGCGTGTCATGCCCCACTCTCTCTCTCTCTCTCCCTGATTTGCGACTCTATCCACTGTCCTGTTTCTGTAAATTAGGCATAAAAGCCCCCAAAAAGATCTTTAAAAAAATCTAAATAGATAGTAAGGTTTTTTTTTTTTGGTTTTTTTTAACAAATATGTCTTGCACTGATTTTCAAACTTATACCGGTATCAGACACAAAAATAACCAAAGCTCATGAGGTAAGTATTCTTGCAGAGGAAGGACAAGCTAGCAGACAACATTGGAGCTTCATTATCAATCTATTATTAATCTAATGCTGTAAAGCTGCTGTAAACGCTAATCAACTCCTAGTAAAAGTTTCTGTGTCAGCTTTCTGTCTTTAAAAGGAAACACAACCATGCTGAATCAAACAGCACTCTGAGCTCACCATTTCATAAGAACTTTGAGCCAGATGTCTTTTTTGAAACCTCTTTTAATGGATTATGAAATGTGCTCGAGCCTTTTATGTAATCAATTCCAAAATGTTCCGTATTACAATCAGCATTTCAAAGTTTGACAAAATAAAACAAAGTTTAGATATTGCCATCAGCCTCAGCTTGATTTCGAGTGATAATAAGTAAATGTTTTTTGGGTTTTTTTAATACTGGCAGTGTTTTTTTATTTCTGCTTTTTATTCACCGTGTAACACTTTGGTGAGCTTCACAGGTTCTGCAGCAGCAGGCAGAAATGCTGACGAGACAAACAAGTGTGTTATAAATAGATGAGAGGAAAAAAGAAAACAAACGCTTTTGATAAATTACTCATGCTGAAGTTTATAAGCTTTCTAGGATTTCTCCTCCAATTAAATCCATTTTTATGTGTGTTCTTATCAGACTGTCCTGCTCCTCTGGATATAAAACACAACCACTGACTAATGAAGTGTGTGTGTGTGTGTGTGTGTTTGTATGAGACAATGGAAAACGGAGAGGTGATATCTGGAAGGGACAGCGCACACACCCCCACTCTCACACTTATCTTGGCTGATCTTTGGAGCTGATTTGCATGACAGATGCAGTCACACAAATGCACACATGTATGCCCGCACATGTAAACAGACAAAGCACACATTGAGGGGAAGATAAGAAAACTGTTATGCAACAGCAGAGCGGGGCAAAGGGGGGGGGGGGGGGGTCGGGGTAATAACTTGGCCTGGAGGAGAAGCAAGAGACAAAAATGGGAGTGATGCAGAAGAGGAGGAGGAGAGGAGAGCGCTGTCATAAAATCAGCCATAAACAGAGAGGAAGACACACTGTAAATATTTGTTTAGCCCGGCGCTCGTCCCCCAGAGCCGTTTCACCAAATCCCACATTTTCTCAGCTCATCTTTCCTCTTTTCTCTGTGCTGCTTTTCCGTCTCATCTGACAACAGATGCACGTTAAAGTCTTTGTTCACACTCAGGCGTCAGTTTAATTTACTACCCCTCTTAAGTCATCATAGTGATGCATGAGGGTTAAAGATTAGAAGAAAACGGGACATTTTTAAGCCTCTCTTCGTTTGTCTGAAAGTTGGACATGCTGTGAGTTTGTTGAACCCAGACCGCCTCTCCGAACAACAACAACAACAACAACAACAACAAAGTCAAAACTTATGAAGACACACTCCTCGGACGGAGTTTTGAAACTCATCTCTTCCACATTCCTCCTTTCGTTACTTCACTCTAGCTGTGATGTCATCGCCCGGCTGTCTGTGTTATTCCAAAGGGGATTGGCTGCCAGACAAAAGAAGAAAAAAACAAAAAAAGGTCCGAAGTGTTGGACCAATTGGGTGAAACTCCGTCTCAAACTTTGTCCTCTGATTGGCCTGTGGAGAATAACTTACTTCCTGGGAGAATAAACGCTTCTGGGTCTGTGGCACACACACACACACACACACCCACACACACACGCACACACACGCACCCCTCCTCTCCCACAGGCCATGGTTTCATTCTACCATTGCTATGGTGACTCCTTAGAGACAACAGTAATGAGACTACAACTGTGTGTGTGTGTGTGTGTGTGTGTGCGTGTGTCTGACACTTCACATTTTCTCCCTTGTTAGTAATGTAAAACACACACACACACACACACACTGACAAGAATATGCAGACAGGAGTATCCTCAACATGCAGGTCCTGACTTGTGAAACATCCTGACCTGTTGAGCAAGACGGGTGTATGCGAGTGTGCATGGCAGGCGTGGAAGGCATTAGATGCATGTGACACAGAATCGTAGGCGATTCTTCAAGTACAAATGTGTCAATGTGTAGTTGGGAAGGTGTGTGTTTTTGCACATAGTTGTGTACCTCGGGAAGGCAACTTGGTGCATGTGTGTTATGTGTGAAGGTCGGTCATCTCCGAGCACATTCCTAACATATTCCGGCCTTCTGCTCAGTTAGCGCGCACGCGTGTGTGTGTGTGTGTGTGTGTGTGTGTGTGTGTGTGTGTGTGTGTGTGTGTGTGTGTCATATGTAGCTATATTCATGACAGCTGTAGCGCTCCATTCATCTGTCAGTGCTAAACCCAAACACAGCCCGCTCCATTTATCACTTCAGACCCGACTGTGGGCTCATTATGGCTTTAAAATGATTGTGGATTAGAGTTTTCCAGGAGTCATGTTGTAAATAAAGTGCCAGAAATGACTTTAATTCACTCTCTTTGGACTGAGGAAATGAGTAATCCCTCAGCCTGCCTCGCGTAATTCAGCATTAGACAGCGATATCCAGCATTTCCCACAATTCACTCCCTTAACTCTTCCGAGAGAATGTGAAATTGTTTTGATCTGATGATTAACCGGACTGATAGCTGAAACCAGAGCGTTTGAGGAACCGAAGTATGTGCCGCTGCAATGCATGCTGGAACTGTTCCTGCTTTAAACTAATGACTTTCCCTGCTCTCAACCGCAACATTTTTTTTGCACCAACAACTCAGAAGCTCGTCTAATAACATTGTTTTCATGTCTCATCTGCTCCATAAGCGTAGTTCAAAGAAGTCGGAAGAGCGTTTCCTCCTCCAGAAAGTCACAGCCCCTTCCATAGAAAGGTTGCAGAAGAGGCTGCAGAGTTGTTGGTCAGTGTGTCCACAGTGTCTTCTTAACTCTGAACTGTGCAAAAAACTGTTTCCATGTGCTTTTTCTTCAGGATAAAAACATGTGAAGATTTTTCAATAACTATTGGTCAGATGTAAATACAGAAAGTTCTCAAGGACTACGGCCTCTGTACTAACTAACCACGCGCACTAACCGTTGTGTGTTTTTACCTAAAAGCCTGACCAGGGGAAAAAACCGCAAATGAGCCATGGCTAGAAGTCCTATATACTGCACATTACATTGGTTGCACTTTAATTAGATGTAAAAAAACCTTTATGTACTCATGAAGAAAATAAAAAGACACGAGGAACTGACTAATATCTGACATTTATTTTTTCCATCCCATAGTTTTTCCAATACAACAGAAACTTTGTTCACAACTTCAGTGAAGAGACTTAGCAGCAGGTGACATTCTGCTTATCACGCAGTGCTTTAGTACAGTGGTTCTCAACTGGTGGGTCGGGACCCAGAGGTGGGTCGGGGAGGCCATTTTCATTGGGTGCGAATGTGTGCCTGGAAAAAATAGCCTTTGAAGGGCTTTTTAATCGTGTTTGTTTTGTTCAGTTTTTTTGCTTCTATCACATGTTTTGTACCGACTGAGGTCCAAACTGCACAATTTTTCAGTAAATAAATCTGATTGGTCGGGGAAAAAAAAAAATCACAAATTTGGGTCGCAATCTTTCACAGAGGAGTTGGTGGTGTGTCCTGAGGCTAGACGAATTGAGAACCACGACTTTTAGTCTATAAGCCAGAAAGCTAATGCTATGCAGGCAGGTCAGTAACAGTTTCACCAGAACTACCTCCAACTCTCAGGAGTTCATTGCCCCTTCAACCCACGCACATCCAAGTATTGACTAAGGCCAAGGTACGAGCTAAGCTAATAAGCTGCTAGCTCTCGTCTTATATTCTAGTTAAGATAGAAGATGGTATTTTTTTTCTATGAGAGATATTTAACATTGTGCTGCAGATGCATGTTTGGGTGGGATTTAATAGAACAATAACTCATAGGTCAGTCTATATTTAGGCCCTCAACACAAGCACAGTTCATGTGAACGTGATTTGATTAGGCCCACGTTCACTCACTCCTTTCCTTCCTGCATTTCTTTGATTTGACTCTTCACTTCCCCCTCCTCCCTCTTTCCGTGCCACTGTCCTCCATT